CTATAGGGGTGAACCAGGGAAGTGGGACCCCCCTGCTTATCTATCATCTGCTTTCCTTCAGTTGCCCACTTCACAAGCCCACCTTCTGCATTATAAATCTTTGGGGCAGGCTTGGGGGTTATGCTGTCTTCACTTGACAAGGCCTTAGTCAGGTTCTGGGCAGTCATGGAGGCCCGGTATCCCACAGTGCAGTAGCAGATAACGCGTTTATGTTGATTATGCTCTGAGAGAAAAGAAACAATAAACAAACAAAAATTGAATTAAAAGCTATGTCTAAACTGCTAGGATTTGCTCATTATCTTGGTATAGGCAACTCCAAATGAGGAAACCTCAAGCCTTCCGAAATCATGAGGTTGGCTTAAAAGGTATCAAGGATGCTTAAAATTGAATTGACTTTTTGGTTTTGAACCTTTAGGGTGAACCAGTGTCACATTTTCTCAGCCAGGATGGCTAGAAACTAAAAAAAAAAATAACTAAAAGTTCAGATTCTTTTGTGTTCACTTGACTCCAGGAACTGGGGCTTTATGGAAAGCATTCATTCCTATGAGTTGGCAAAACTGTTGTTACTATGAATATCTTGTAAACAATCATGACATACGCAAAGACGTAGACCAGGGCCTCTATCCTATAGTTTAAGCTGAAAACGTAGATGGGTCACTCGCACACAGTAGCATAACTAGGGGTGGCAAGCAGAGCACTGACTTAGAGGGCCCAGTGAGTCCATGCAACAGGCAGATGTAGGGACCCTTTTACACCCTCATACTACAGCTGATCCTTCTCTTGCTGCTGAATTCTCTGCTGCCCTCTCGCTGCTGGCAACAGCAATGCGCAGCACTTGGTAGTGCCAGAAGTGATGGCAGCGGCTGCAGTAGTAGGGTATGAGGGTGCCCTCCAGGTTTGGGCAATGCTTTTGTGCTCCCCCACTCTGGGCTGGCTAAGCTTTGACAAGCTTGTCTGGTATCTCCGCCATCCAACAAGCTAAGCACTTCTGAAAATCTGTCCCGTGTTACTGTTGCTCATTTGAATTTTCTGCCCTTAAAGTAGCTTAAAACCTGCTTGCGACAACAGAGAGAAGTTTCTGCTGAGACGGTGCATATACCTTGAGAGAGCTGCTTCTGCAGAAGTTCTTGTGGAGCATTAGTCTGAGGGTCAATTAGGATTGCCCCTGGCAGATGGCTGACTTCATATTCAGCTGGACTCCGGGTGTCCTAAAAACAGAACACTGATTAATCTTTAATCAGCCATTACTCATTAAAAGAAAACCTAAGATACCTGATAAGTAATATCTGCTTTGTCAATAATCCCATTTTAGAGAAGGGGTGTAGTTATGGAGTAGTGGTCTATATGACGGGGAGTAAAGGTGGCTGAATCAGGCTACTTTAATGTAGTGCCACCAAATGCAGCCACCTTTTGAGTATGAAGGCAGCACCCCACCATCTACTGTCCACTGAGTAGAATGGAAAATTTGACTAAGTGTAGTAAAACATTACTTTTATGCAGTGTGCCATTAGATCTGCAACATCTATCATCCTAGAGAAAAAAGGATGTTACGTAAGATCTCATCTACAAGATCTTAACACAGTTCATCTACCTCAGAAGCTGCTAAAGAACACTGCTGTCATTCACACCGGCGATCCCAGGGACTGTAAGTATTTATTACACAGTTCTTGGATCTCAGCTCATCCTGTTAATTGAAGCATCTTCACTGTCTCTCCACGTGATCACCTAAAAACTCAGACTTGTCATTATCTATGTTAATCGGTCCTGAAACATTTTATCCATACAATGTCAGACAGATTTTGTGCAGACTGTAGAACATCCTGCTTCAAATATGGTTAAATAATAGAGAACAGGGTATATATTATGGTATATTTATAACAAGCCAGCACAAAGTCTGCAATTTTTTACTCCAGCTCTATAATTGTAACTCAATAGAAGCAAGATCATAGTTATCACTGACTGACACGATTGTTAGAGCATATTTAATTAAAGACTTAACTGTTCACTTGAGTTCTATTTTTGAGGTCAAGGAACTGGCAGGTAACATGCATTTCAAAAGCCCATCCTGTGATAGCCTTTGCTAAAACAATTTTCATCTGGAGCTTATTAGACCCAGTTCTGAGGAAGCTTCAAGTCTGGTCGCAAAGACAGGGATTTTGTGGCTTTTTTTCAAACATGGGGACATGCGCTCATATAACTGGTACTTTCCAATTTCAGAAAACTAAGGGGAATGAGAAGAGATTCTGAGATTAAAGATGCTGCATTTTTTAAGGTAGGGGCCTAAGATATTTTAGGTTTTCTTTTAATGAGTTATAAATTGATTGTTCCCTCCATCTTGTTGAAAACAACAGAAACAGCTTTCCCTAATGCTTATCCATTCCAAAGTAATTTCTTAGCATGTTTTTTTATGAAATAGGGACAGAAATCACTGCCTTCCAGCTTAATGAAATCAGACTGTAAGACCACTCCACTGTCTTTCATAGTGAATGCAATTTCCACTTCTATAGGTTTGAATCTCTACACAGCACTGAACTTATCTTTCTACCTGTTTGATAAATACCTGGCACAGAGAAGGCACTCTAGGACCAAAAATTCAAAACAGTATTTAGCACCTTCGAAGGGTTTGAAGCACCCAGTTCTGCAGCCTCTACTTACATAAATCTGGCGTGAGCAACAACAGAGGCACTGGATTTCAAATGATAAGACTGATATAGGGTACATATGTAGATGGAAAAACTGAATTAAATTTATCTTTTAAAGTCATATGGAGTCTCCGTGTCAGCACTTAAAATTCCTGGTTCACAGTCGCATGTTCAGCCGTCTCACATACCTATATAGTTATACTGATTTTCATTTCAAAATCTTTTCCCAGAACATGTGACCTTTGTTCTTTTCCTGTGACTTTTTTATTTGTTCCCAGCTTTGATGGCCCAAAATTGAGGTGCATGACTCAATTTGGGCAAAACTACATGGTAATTTCATTCCTCTGACCAACCCATCTGAAGGGTCTTCTTCTCTGAAGTCATTCCTGGGAGAGGAATCACATTTCAGAATAGAAAAGCAGACACGTGGGATCTGTCTGATCTCTGCTTTTAGCCCAGAGTCTGTGTTTACCGGGGAGTAACTTTGTACTTTTTGATGTGATAATGGTAGTATTCCACAAGTGCTGAAACCTCATCTGAAAAAAGCAACTCTACTGTATTAACAAAAGCTAAGAGCAAGTCATTTTTGGCCACTTTCATAATCCAATTCCCAGGAGGAAGAAAAAAATCCATGTTACATAGAAACAGATGAGATTATAGAAAATTGCTAGCTAAGAAACTTAACATATTTTAACATACAAAATTAGCAATGTGAAATCAGTTACAGGTTCTAGGTGAGTCTGTAAATAGCTTTGTTGCTGTGGAGGCATCCAATACAATGACAGTGGGACTCATGAAATCAAAGTAGCGTGACAGCAGTATGCCATGGAGGCTGATTTTTGCCCAGACATGAAGGACACGCATGGCAATACTAGGCAGAACTGTAACTTTTGGAACAAGTGTGCAACCTCAGAAGCTGGGCTCCTGCCCAAGGTGCTGATGCAACTGTGCAGCTCCATCCTGCTTTTTCAGAGAATTTCATATATTAATGGTCTGCCTATGACAAAGCGCTGAGGAATGCAGCATTCGCTGCAGAGACTGATTGACCTTCACCCTTCATGTTCATTTAGGAACAGGCTGGAGGACCTGGCTGCTTTTAAACTGGGATTTACAGCTACTTGAGATCCCACCCTTTCTCTCCTCTTACTTCCAAACTGGACGCTGTCAATGGCTGGTGCAGCATCAGCTTGTAATAATAAATTGATGTGTTGCAAGTGCTAGATAAATCTTCCATCCACCTACAAACACATCTGTCTGGGAAACCGGGCCTAGAACCCTGATCTCATAAATCCAAAGATACAGGTCACCTTATCTGGCCTCAGTTTCCATCCAGGGACTGAATATACACCTTTGTAACTCTACTTTTTTTTCCGGAAAACAATCTGCTGATACTATGCATCATTAAATCTCAGATACTAAGTTTGTGCTGGGTAGGATCTGGGCTATGAGATCTCCAAGAAAAATCCAGATGTTACAAAAAGTGGTGTTTTGCCAGTGCCCACAATGCTAGAAGTATTAGTGGAAATTTAAACGCCACTTGCAGAAATAATCACACCCAGGCTATCCCACCACTTATCTAGCACTGATGCTGCTTCTGTGGTAAAATGGTGTGAAAAATCAAAGTGTACTCTCACACATAGTGGCCACTGACATATACCAGAAATGAGGTTAAGTAGGTGCTGCTTTTCTACAGTAGTAAACACCCTGAAATACCTTTATGTAAGAGACTTGTTTTCTCAAAGAATCCCAATGCAAAAAGCTGAAGCAAAGGACAAAAATTCTACATGGACAATGAGGTTATGCAAAATTTGTTAAACACACATGTTTTGTGGGTGTTGGTTGTAGCTGTGTTGGTCTAAGGACATAGACGAGGTTCTTTGGGTAAATATGATATCTTTTATTAGACCAACTCAATAATTGGAAAAAAATGTTCCTTGCAAGCCTTTGGGCGCACACCCCCTTCTTCAGGTACAGGGAGAGTTTGCTGAGTATTTTTGCCTTTGACACCATTCCCCCCGACCTCCCGTCTTGCACCTACTGTCTCCCATTCCCTTGGATCCTCACTGCCATGAATTTGCATTGCACAGACCTACATTTTGCATATTGGCTTCTATTCTACCAGGAGAGTGCGCACAACACCAGCAGATCCTCCCTATGCCTGAAGAAGGCTGTCTGTACCTGAAAGCTTGCAAAGAACAATTTTCCCAGCTATTTAGTTCATCTAATAAAAGATGTTGCATCTACCCAAAGAACCTCGTCTGCCTTACACACACACACATGCACACGCACACACTGACATCTTAAAATTAACCAGAAGAGAGACCAGGACACTAACGCATCTGTTGATTTTAATTGCAGACAACTTGCTTTTAGGCAATGAAATCAATCACTTACCAGAATGAGCAATTCCTCTGGGTTGTTTTCTATCCAACTTCGTAAAGTCTCTGTGGAAACAGTTTCAACTTCTGGAAATGATTCATGGACCCACTCGGTGGCTAAGCTCCTCATTTCTTTGGGATCGCTTACGTGACCCACTTTTTTCAGAAATTTTTCTGTCATTGTCCTTGTGGCTCTAAACAGCTGGAAAGAAAATGCTAACTAAAATCTCTTAGTTTATTTAGCAGATACTGGGTCACGTGGTACATTTTTATATGAGTAAACATGGGGCAGAACTTTTACCCTTCTAATCAGTCACGAGTGGTAGAAGTAATCATGTAGTATTTTTTATGTTTCTTAAAAAATATATAATATCAAAATCTGCCCCTATAATTCGTAACTGTGAAACAAATGTTTCGCCTAGCCATGGGGTTGTTGTTTTTTTTTCTTTCCTTACAGAAAATGTCTCAAATGTTTGGCAAGCCCATTTGAAAGCATACAAGTCAAGTCCATTATGTGCAAAGAGAGGCTGTTGAAATAAAGCTGAACTTTGATCGCTGAAAATATGCTACGGATGTGTTTCTCAACCCGCAGATCGCAACCCCAGAGCGGGTTGCAACAATAGACGAAAGGGTTGCGAACAAATTTTAAAGCAGAATCTGTTTTGAAAGGAGAAAAACATGGGAAACCATAGGTTTTCCCTGGCAGAGCTGCAGCCTGCAAGGGGCTGCTTGGGGGCCCCCGTGCCCCACGCACCCATCCCCTGCTTCACATACTGGGGGGCTGGCGCCTGGACACAGGGGGCAGCGGGTCGGGAGCAAGGGGCACTGGGTCGGGACCGGCCATTGATGTTTATAAATGGGTCTTGGCACAAAAACTGGTCTAGAGTTTGTGCTTTACCAGCTGACAGCAACCTCGATACAAAGCAAAGGGTCAACAAGGGATGTGGACTCGTAAAGCAGGGAGGATTTCGGCACTGTTTATGCAAATGGATGTCGCTTGCTTGCAGCATAGATCAACACATTGCTGCTCCCTGCACACTCGCTTGTAACATATATTAACACGCTACTGCTCCCTGCACTTGCATGTACACAATGAGCCGGTTTATTCTCTTTTCGAGCGAACTGGAGCTTTGCCCCGACCAAAGTCCAGCTGTCTGACACCTGTTTTATTGTAGCGTGTCTTACTTATTTTATAGCCTCACTCTTGATCTTTTCCTGGGATAACGGGGGAAAGGACGTTGCTTCCTGCATACGACGGATTTCTCTAGGGACTGGAAACTCTTCAAAATGACAAACAGCTTTTACAAAGGATTGCTGTCTTGGAAGTTTTAAAAACCGCGTTGGCTTG